TTTTGAGCCTTTGAGGAGGCTAGACTGTGCCAGATGCAAGCCTGGGAGGAGCAAGCTGAGTGCCCCTTGGGGTGCCAGGGTCCCATCCCGCTCACTGACCCTTCCCTCACCTTTCCTTCCAGGTTATGCCTACTTCCTCCATGGTCGCCAATACTGGAAGTTTGACCCAGTAAAAGTGAGAGTCTTGGAGGGCTTCCCACGCCTCATTGGCCAGGACTTCTTCAGCTGCGCTGGACCTGCCACCCTTCCCTACAATGCCTTCCTCTAAGCACTGGCCTTGGAGGCCCTGCATTCCCCAAAACCTTCTTTGGGAGCTGGCCTCCCATGGGGATGACCCTGAACCAGGCAGCACTATTTATTCAGGGATAGAAATGAAGGCTCTGGGATGAACTAACCGGGCTCAGGCTCCCCCATACCCTCAGCTGGAGGCAGTTGGCTGCCAGCTGGGCTTCCATGCAGGCCTAGGGAGTCTCGTAGCCTGAGAGTCCATGTGTTTGGAGGCAAAGAGACTCCAGGCCATGCTGGTTGTGGCTTACACTGTCAGGTCTGAACCCTGCCTTCTCTGTCATTGTCCAGATACGTCCTTTCAGAATCTCAGCTGGGATACCCTGCCCTCTAGGGACTCCTCATGGGTGTCAGTTCTCTTTGGATCCCCAGAACCTGCTCCACACTGGAGAGCTGCCTCTCTCCCTGGACTGACTGCTGTCCCCAGGGGGGCATCATGGAAGGCCATGGCCTTCCCCCAGAGTCTTTTGACATCCACTCTTCCAGGGAGTGTGGAATACATAATTTCTTTCTTCCCATCCACACCTTCCCACTCTGAAGCCTCTCCTTTGTCCCTAAGCTGTTTCTTCTGAATAGGGCACATCTACCCCAAGCCATGGATCCCAGTTGAGGTGGGCGAGCTCATCCCACCCACTGTCAGTGATCTCAGGAGGCAGGATGTGGCCCCTCGCCAGCTGGGGTGTCCCCTTGTTCTTGCGTGCTATCCACCTTTGGGCCTTACTGTAGGCCTGGGTTTTATTCGACCTCCTGCCCACCAGTGTGCCTTATAGTTGCCTGTACTTTCTAGCCCCTCCTGGCATCCCAGGCATCTTGGGACATTCCTGGTCAAATCTTGAAGACACATCCAGGCAGACAGTGGGCCTTTTGGCATTCTGCTCTCAGTCAGGCCCCTTTAGCAGGGAGTTGCTACCACCACCTGGCCTTCCCAGTTCCTCCTTTTCCTCCTTTCTTCCTGCTCCTTGTCCCAGCCTTCCTGGAAACCCCACTGACATGTCCCACTTCCCAGGATGCTGGACTGGCCCTTTGCGGGGGTGTTGGCTCACCCTTTTAATGGTAGGAGAGATGCCGGGCCAAACCCCCAGGAATGCCTCCCCTGTGTTTCCCCTCTAGTCTGACTCCCCCTCAGAGTCCCCATCCTCAGAAGGGAGGGAGGGGTTGTGGGCAGAAAGGGCAGCCCTTGTATCCAGTCTGGAGAAAGCAGGTTCCTGGGCTTTCATCCAATCTCCTGCATGCAAATACTGTCCTCTATCCTGAGGTATAAGGGTGTCTTCCTTCCCCAACCTCAACCTAGTGCTCACAGGCCTGCTTGAGGTATGGGCTCCAAGGGACAACAGTCCCCAGAGGCAGAGCTCAAGGCAAACCCCCTCCTCATGCCAAGGCTAGTCCTTGTAGGCTTACCTGGTCAGCATGGAAGAGCCAGCCCCTAAACTCATAAGAGTTCCCTTAAGTCTTGACATGCTCACAGGGCCTGGGCCTGATGCTTAAGAGGGCCAGGCCCAACAGGGCTGCCTCTAGGAGAAACCTGACTCTGCTCTCCCTCCCATTAGGCCCTCAGGGCCTGGAAAGGGGCAGCTGGGAGTCTGAGAAGGAAGTGTGTCCGGCTCAGACCTTGGGCCCCAGGGTAGATGGAGCCAGCTGTGGAGTGCCCTGGCTGGGTACCCTTCCACTATGGTGGGGTAGGCCTCAGGGGCCTCTCCTCTGCCCTCCCTGCCAAAGAAGTGCTAACTGTGTACAGTATGGATAGCGTCTTTTGTATCAGTGGGTCATCCACTCGACAATTAAACATGGCCTGTTTTCTATTGAACCTGTCTGGCCTCCTCCTTGGAAATTACCTGAGCTTCCTTTCTGGGTGGGTCTCTGCTGCCCTTCTCACTGATGACCCAGACCCAGAACACAATGGATTGCCTGCAGCCACACAATCAGTGCCAAGTTTGAAAGGGTGGGATTTGAACTCAGCTCCCTTCTGATGTTAGAAAAGGCAGGGGAACATTGGATAGAGGAAGGGCCTTGGAGTCTTGAGTTCAAATCATGCCTCAGACCTTTACTTAGTTGTATGGCCTCAGGCAAATCCCTTAACCTCTCTGAGCTTCAGGGCCCACCCTCATCTGTAAAATGGACAGATTAATAGTTGGCATCCCTACCTCACAGGCTCTTTGTGAGATAATGACTGAAAGGTACCTTCGATAGAAATGTCAGTTTTTCTTATTCTGTCCATTGACCATCCCAGGAATGCCACCATTGACCCAAACTCCAATGTGCACAGCCTCCAAAGGTTGGGGCCCTGGGCTCCCTTTTGGACAAAGAGCACGAGACTGAGAATTTTGAGGTCCTTTCGTCCAGCCCCCAGAGGGAGCAGAGGACTTGTCCACAGTCACACAGCAAGTTAGTTGGTTTGGCACTAAACATAGCATTAGGGCTAGCAAGCAGCTTTTGTCATGACAGTCCAGCAAGCTCTGTGGTTGTGGGGTTAGCCCCATCTCACCAGGAGCGAACAAAGCTTGGTGGGGGTGGAGAAGGCCTTGCTCAAGGATGTGGGGCAGTGAAGACTCAAGTGTAAGAGTCAGGGTCTGAATACCCTAGACGACAGTCAGGATCCAAACAGCCTTGATATGCTGGAAGGCTGGGACCCAACCTAGGTGAGTGAGAAACAAATGTAAAGTCCTTCACTTGGGTCCAAGAAACCGATACCCCCAGAACAGGTTGGTGAGGCCTGACCAAAGAGCCAACTGTTCGCAGATTTTCCTGGCTCCCATGAGCCACCGGGGTGCATGGGCAGGCATTGAGGAGGAGGAAGTGGCTCGTTCCCACCCTGAGCCTGGTCCAACCCATTAAGGCATCCATCAGACAGGAGTAGGAAGACAGGCCCATGGGAGCCTATCAGGAGTGACAAGGGCAGGAGCGTCCACATTAGTGACTGCAGGGAGACTGAAGGGGAGGGCTGGCAAGAGGTCTTTGG